AAAATGTAAATAAATAAATATAAATGAAAAAACGTTAAGGAATGATCAAGCTTCCAGAATATTCAATAGCAAAACTATAAAAACGTTGTTTTCTATGCGTGCTTAATAAAATCGGACAAACAAAATTTGATATGAAAATTGAAATATTCAAAAACATCGCTTTTGAGCCTTTTTAACAACGGCTAAATGAACCAGGTATCAAAGACTTAAGCTGCACATAGTGACAGCACAAAAAAGTGTAGAGCAACTGTCAAATGTTGTCAACTCTCAACTGTCAGTTGAAACACACAAAAGAAACATTTTGTGTTTTTTACACACGCTCTGCTGACAAAGCAACTAAACAATTGCACCGTAAATAAAATAATAATAGATTTGTAATTTTGACAACGCATTTTATATATCTAAGTGGCAAAGAAATATTTTATAGATAATTTTTAGATAGATAGAGAGATAGAGCGGGAACGTGTGTTTATATGAGCAAACCTTCTGAAATTTAGAAAATTTGTTTTAAACACTTACGTAATAGTATAATTATTATAGCCGGCAAATTGTTTTTCAGTATTGAATCTATGTATTTCAAAAATATATCTATGCAATTTTCTCCATACACAAATATATAACAATTTTCTTTAAAATTTTAAATTCCAGTTTTTAATTTATATTCACTCTTCACTGATTACATTGTTTCAAAAAGAATTGTATTTTTACGCACATTTCATTTTTTACATCTCTCCTTCATTTCGCACATGTATTTCGTATGTTAATTGCTTTCAAACCTGTCACACAGTGCAACCGGTTGTAGGCCGCTTTTTTATTGCTTTCTACTTTTTGTTTATTTATTTGCTGCTTTTTTTAGGTTATTGTTAAAAAATAAAACAATATAAATATGTATTTTTTTTTTTTGTTTTCTTTCAGCCTCCAGTGTCAACCGGTTTGTCTAGCTACATACACTTTTCTTTTTCTCGTTTCGTGTGTGTTGACACACTGTTTGTTGTCTGATTCGGAATCTTAAGGAAATATTTCCAATTTAACACGTGATTTTAATTACTCATTTTTACGTAACCAATATAAAAATATATAATTCAAATAACTGCACTTTTTTACATAAAATATCAAACACACTGATTTCATAAATTTAAGCAAATCTCTGTGAAATTCGACTCAAGACACACCCACTAGACTCACATTGATGTAAAACGCGCCTTTGCGTTGTCGCATTAATAAATAAATTTCACGTTTGTTTTTTTTTTATTATTAAAAGCGTATATTTTGCTCCAATTGATTATTTTTGCAAATTCAAACTAATTATTCTCATATTTTAATTTAAAAATTTCCTTCGACAAACATTGCTATGAAAACGTCTGAGTAATTTCACCACTATTAAACTCGCTGGTTGAAAGTAAACTGAATTGATATAAAATGTGCTACTACCTACAAATTCTTCAACTACCGTACGCGGCAGCGGTTACACATACCAACAGCGCAAGATAAAAAAATACGAACAAATCGGTCACGAGCGATGGAGAGCGTTTATGTTAACGTATGCACAATGAGGTACCACAAGGAACAGTGCGCTGTTGTAAGCTACTGTTAAATGCATGCACAAATTAACATGTGCCGCACAGGGTAAAGAATTGCGACAATTGGGTGTAAATGTTGAGTAATTTATAGCAGTGACAAAGAAGTATATGTAATTGATGCGCCTTAAGAAGTACGAAAGCGAATTGAAATTTTATGGTGACAGATGACAGCTTTTGATTGAGATTAATTCTTAAAAAGGTGAAATCAAAATCGAAAAAAAATTAGTATGGCAATTTTGTTGTTTTGAGAAAACTACTAAAAATCTAATGAAAAAATGGTAATATTATTTAATGCATTAATATGTAAATTAAAATTATTTTGAAACAATAACACTAAAACTTTTAAAATTTTTATAATTTAGTAAAAGTTAAATATGTACATATATAAAACATTTCTTATAATACTTTTAGTTACAATATAAGCCATTTAGAATGTTTAGTGTATATACTCGGTTTGAAAATAATATTTTGAACAATTAATACAAGTAAATTCCCAGTTTTGATGTTGTCACAGCTTCAGCTTCGATTTTATAATATATATAAAGGAAACTTGGGCATGAAAATGATATCCATAATCCAATCTGAAWTTTCAGAAATCTTAAGAAATTTTGATATGATTTTTACATTTAGTTAAGGAGAAAAATGTACACCAATTGCTATGCTAAACACCCTTAAAAATTGTGACATAAAGAACATATATTGTATTTAGCATTGTATTTAGTGGGTCTCTCCTGAATCATATCAAACTGTAAAATTTGCTTGCTTAACCATCACTTTGTCTTATGCTAAAATCACCATTCACTGACACCGAATAAAACCACGGTGCTTAGCTTGTGTTATTAACAGACCATCACAAAACTGTTAATTAACAGTGCGTTATAATCTTTCACAGGCGAAAGGCACAGAACAGCGTAGTGCAGACAAGAACAGCACGTTAGCTCTCAGTTAGGTTGAGGTTAGGATTGGGTAAGTGCCAGACACAGATATTGGCTGTGAGAATGCCCACAGAGCAATGAAGCTCCCAGCAGGGGAGCAAAATACTGTTATGTATATACTGAGCAACGCATGTGAATTAGTATGAGTAACAAAGTTGTCTGGTTGATTTTTCAGGTATTAGTGAAACATAAAAAATAAACAAATTGATTTGTAGTTTCTTGCTTCTTTTTAACCGGCACTAATACCAATGCAAACTGCAAAAATCAGAGAATAACATTTTTAGTATGTGCTTTCGTATGTAGTTTATTTATTGCCTTTTTTTCAATTCTTGCCGAAACTTTTCAATGATATGGTGTTAAGAAATGACGCAGTTGCAAAAGCCGGTGCCAAAGAACTTGTGTGCATGAGGATTACTTAAAACAATGCCATTTGATTGCGTATACTTATGTAAATAAGTAGATACATGTATATATATGTAATGAGTGCGAAGTGATAAATTTATTTATCAAAAACACATGTGTACATATGTATGTATGTACGTAAAGTGAATTGTTCCCCTGGGTGCTGGAAGTGATTGATGACATTGTAAATCAGTGCAAAGTCTTCGATGTCCATGTAGCGATGAGATAACCGTCGCTATCAGCTTTATATTTAAAATAAAATACTTGATATACATATAAACATATGTACATGCATGCATATGTGTATGTATCTAGTTGTAGTTTTAAGACGCATATGAAAATGGAATTTCTTCGAAGGGCAACCATTTTTTTATATTAAAAAATTAATCTAATATGGCTCAAAATGTCACTTAGTCGATATACATAATATATAAATAAGAACAATATATGTATGTAAGTAAATACGTAAGAATGAATTTACATCCATCGGTATGAACAATTATACAGTTACATATGCCCCTTTTCAGCCCAGTGATCACGTTGCTAATCATACAGTAAATATGTATGTGTGCTCTTAGTATTGTTGTGCATTAATTCAATGTTTGCGCTTGTAAATTATCGTACAGAGAATAAGTCGCTCATTTGATAATTGTTTTGGTGATATTGTTTGCTATCTAAAGCGTGAAGTGCTCATATCGAAGTGCTTGCAATATAGATTAAGGTGTAGATTTTAGAAATTGCCGTGCTTATAAACTTATAAATCTATTTAGATAAATACATATGTGCACACTAGACGATTTTGTATATAAGTATATACATACATACATTTTATTAAAGCCTTTCTGATTCCGTTCATTTTGCCTTACAAATCAAGTCTCAAGCTCGAAAACTGAGAAGAAACAAGAAAAAGTTAACTTCGGCTTCACCGAAGCTATAATATCCCACACAGGTGTATTTCTTGTAGAATAAAATTGTATGAAAATACCTTTATCTTGCTTCCGATCGCTCAGTTTGTATGTCAGTTATGTGCTATAGTCACTATCAAATTTTACACAGTACCTGAGATCAATTCTTATCCAGAGCAACCGACAACAACAAGGTGCGTTCCAAAGTCAACAGAACTTTTTGAATCTAGCGCCCTCTGTCGATCGTGCGTTATAATCAGCTATATTTATCGATTGTCCAGTGAGAATTTAAATGGAAGTGAAGTTATTGAGTTTTAAGTGTCAGTATGTRTTATGGTGCGAAAATGAGTTTCGAACAAAGAGCCAACATTAAATTTTGTTTTAAAATTGGTAAAACTTTTAACGAAACGTTTCAATTGATGAAACAAGTTTATGGCGATGATTGCTTATTCGTCATCAGAGTGCACGTGTGGTTTCAACGTTTTCAAAGTCGTCGTGAGGACATAAGTGACGATCAACATGTGGACCAATCAAAATCCGTCATCACCGGAAATTCCATCGAAACTGTGTGTGAATTCATCAAAAATCAGCAGAAATCATCATTGAAATTCATGTAAATGAAATTGAGCTTCTCCAAAACATCGATTTATCACATTTTGACCGAACATTTGGGCTTACGAAAGGCACAAATTGACAGACGACCAAAAATTGCTCAGAATCCAACATTCGAAGGACGATTATTTTATAAAAGATCACATCTCAACCATTAACCACTCCCCGTATTCACCTGATATAGCGCCATGCGACTTCTTCCTTTTCGGAAAAATGCATTTGCCCATAAAAGGAAAGCGTTATGCTGACCTAGAGGCCATTCAAAAGGCTTGCACCGGCATACTGGCGGCCATACCGGCCAACGAGCTAAAACAAACGTCGACATACTTCTGGACGTTGCAAAAAACTGTATTGAAGCAAGACGAGACTATTTTGAAAATCGTTTACATAAAGATTACAGAATAAATCGCATAGCAGATTGTTACTAGAAAAAAAAAAAAAAAAAAAACACTTGCTACTCGATTATATTTTCTANAAAAAAAACACTTGCTACTCGATTATATTTTCTAGTTGAAAACTAATTTCTAAAATTTAATTTTGTTTTGACTTCAAAATCACCTCTCATAAACAAGAATTAACTATAAACAAAATTTAGCGGTACGCCCACCTATTACATAATCGTTCCTTTTTACCATTTCAGTTGAATTCTCATTGCAGAGTGGCAATAAGAGCACAAAAAAATTTAATATTATTAACAAGAGATAGTTCACATAGTTCAGAAACTAGAAACAATCGGTGAGCAGAGCATTAAGATTACACATTTTTGAAACCCGAAAGTACAATGCTACCCCGCTCATTTAACATCGAGGCATGCGCTGTTCAGGTTGATTTTATGCGGTCGCAAGCACTTTACTGCTCACATTTAACAGATTACATATGTACATACTCTATATGTGTGTATTAGCTATCTCATTCCCGCTTTAGCGTTGTTTTCAAAAATCATTCCATTTTATCCTAAGAAAACAAGCCAGCCAGCTGGTGGTATTGGCGGTCGTAGACGAAAACAACAAACATCGAAAGTGAAAAAACAAAACAAAACACGTGTTTTCCATCGTTATGCTGCTAGGGAGGTACATACATACATAGCTAGGTCGTTGAGTCGGTGAAGCATTCGCTCTGTTTTTCCGCTATGCTTGTTACAGCAAGTATTGATACTATGTAATTCTCACACACCCTTTACAGGCAGGCAGTTGTGGGTAGGTGGCGCCAACAATGTTATTATTGCGCGACATGACTTTTCTCACGTAGGCCAAGACGACGACTCACTTTCTGGGTGTTTGTCGGTTAGGCGGGTAACCGCCGAATTTACTCCCGATACTGGGCGTCCTAGCGCTGACTTGGAATGCCAGCTTCTTATCAGACCACTGCAATACATTGGTACTATGTAAATATCTTAAAATAAAATATATAGCAAGAGCGTAGGGCGTAAAATAGGTGAAATTCTTGTAATATGTGGTGGTGTTTTGGTCGCCTGATTTTTGTATACATATGTATATTCCATGTCTGGTATCCTGAAGCATATTTCGCTTTGTAAATCGTGTTTTGGGGGCACTCGTGATTACGGCACATGATTTCACTCAACGGTGAAATATGCGGTAGTCAAGGGATACGAATTCGTAAACGTTCGTATTACACTTTTGGTGGTGGTGTAGGTTAGGAGTTTCGCTGACAAATAAAATGGACGCAATTCTTGTGATTCCTGCGTAATTTTTAACGTGGTTTAATGACGATATAATATTACTATATTTTGTAATCTTTTATATTTTTTTCTCTTGCAATTATTCTTTTTTGTTTTTAACAATTTATTTGTATGTAGATAAGCTTGTTTTCCTGTTTCTTACATTTTATATCTTCTATTATTTTAGGCTGTTCTGAATATTCTAATTGCTCACTATAATTATTAGTCGCTTTTGTACTTATTTATGCTAAGTGACCTGTTTGTTTGCTATTG